TACAAAACACAATTACATTTAATTCTTGTGCTTGGACGGTATTTATCCAATTCTATGTTTTACGTATGCGTTTCATTTTTCCGGGGCCAACAACTTGGAAAATTCTCGGAACCGAACGAAATTTTGAATTTTAATTGATTTAACAAAGCTTTGCCTTTGGAGATTTATTATCTCAAGAAAAAAACAGGTTACATTACTCTACCCTCTACCCAAGACAAAACATGACCCTCAGAAATTCTTAGAATGATTTCAGATTGATGAGTGACATCAGAATCGGTTTATTTTTTTCAAGCAAACAAGTTTATAAAAAAATCAGGAACTAAGCATTATTCTCTCAAAGAAATATAAAGAGCATTTATCAACATTAACATAAATAAAAAACATTTTCTCATATTAATTTTGTGTTATCTAGTTTTGTAAGTTAATCGGAGTTTTAAACTGAATGACAGGTAGATTCTACTGTATTTGTTTACATTGACAACTGTCCGTTTCTTAGAAAGGGCGACAACCAAGATTAGCACCGATGTCTATACGCCGTTTTTCCGGCATATTTACTTGAATATGCGACTGAGGCCCTCGAATCAATAAATTTCAATATAACAAGAGCGCATGACTCTTTGGCAAACAGGCAAAATCGTCATTTTTTGTTTGTTTACTGGGCCCTGTATGTATTGCGCATAGGTGAAACCGGGCTATAACAAGAGCGCGTGACTATGTTAACACATGGTTTTGGTCCCGTTATAACATGGGCAAAATAGGGAAAAATAGCCGATTTTATGCTATAATGTGGAAAAAAGTGAGTTACAACCGTTTTGCGCTAAGCCCACGACATGTATATGGTTTTGAATAACAAAATGATGTTTATTTATAATCCAAATTTTATTGCATTATTTTGATTAAGGTAATTCTTTGTGACAAAAAACTAATGTTACTAAATAATGTTTTAATTACAGATTATTTTTTGGTAATAAGAGGTTAATACACGGCAGGAGAGGGCCGGAAGGTGATAATCGGCCCGCAAAATGAATAATGGACCTGAGGGCCATTATATATTCAGGGCCGATTATCACCTTTCGGCCCTACTCTGACGTGTATTAATATCTTTAACACACTTGTTAGATCTAATAGTAGCATTTTTAAAGAAGAAAAAAAAACAACAACAACAAATAGAAATCTACTTTGAAGTTCTTTGGTTGAAATTCTTGTGTTCTGTACGGAGATGTTTACTGTTTGTGTGTTCAAAGAAGCAAGTTTTATTTTCATTTTTTTTCGGATTGAATTTGTCGTATTATTTCTTCAAATTTCAACAGTAACAAAAATGTGTTTGTACTAAATACGATGTGCTGTCAACCTACTTTCACTTTTACAGTTAACTGTTTCATGACGTAAAATATGACGTCATTGTTTCAGTTTGTGCACGTGCACATGTTCTGCGGGCTGATAACTAGTTCTCGGCCCCGGGCCGCAAACTCATAATAGGTCACGTGACACTCATAATCAGTTGAAATCATAAGCAATTTTGTTACTATACATAGTAACAAGTGTATTAATAAAATTTATTGTTGGGCAGAGAATTCATTAGAAACCTTAACTGAGTCTATACCATAAAATATATTGGCAATCTACATCTAGGTTCAGAAACAATCTCATTAATCTAAATGGTAAATGGTTTAATAATTTCTTAAAGACTGTATATTAATATGTACATACATCATTCATTTTGCAGGAAGTAAATGTTTCATTGTACAAAAGAAAGTTCAGTTACACTATCAGTTGACAAAATATATTTGAAGGGTGTATTGTTACAGTTTTCAGAGGCAAGTTAACTATCCAACCATGGTCCTCTTCCTCCCTCTCATCCTTACTTCTTCAAGTTTACTGATCACATCTGTTGCTTCCTTCTTATTTTCATGTTTATATGCATCTAATACAATCTCAAACACACGTTCCATGTTTGGGTGTGTACTGAGCAAAGCACGTTCAAACACATACAAGTCAACTCCTTTATCTTCTGGTAGACCTTCAGAAAAACTCAATCCAAAGTCAATTAACACAATATCTAAATTTTCCGGATCGCCACTTAGTAACATATTGGATGTTGTAAGATCTCCATGAATAACCTTCCCATGATGCATCGTGCCTAATATCTGTCCTATTTTTGTAGCTAGTGGTGTAAGTTTTTCTACAGCATCGTCTGGTGACGTGGACTGAATATGTATGATGTAATCTCTAACAGTTTGGCTGTTCATTATCTCTTCCATATAAAATGTACTTGTGTTTGTATCCACAAAGTATAAAGCTGGCACTCTTATTCCTGCAAATACAATTAGGATTATTTTAAAATACTATTGTGCTTTAACTTTAGTTCTGAATAATGTAAAGAATGCAGATATATATACATGTACACATGAAGCTGTAATCTGTGATACTGATGGATAACCTGTAGTCTGTCAAAAAATAGAGACACACAAGAATATTTTTGGTAAACACAAATGCCCCAGGCCCAGATTATTGTCAGTAACAAATTTTCCAAAAAATATTCACTCAATTATGGAAGGAAAGATTGCTAAAAATATTGTAAACACAGTTTGATATCATAAATTGACAGTCATGACGTTTTGTTACTGTAGAAAAATGTATCTTTCATGTCATTGATCAATATTTGATGAAATTGGAATTTGTACTTCTTATCAATAAAAGTTCATTAAAAACAGATATGGAAGACCATGACCTTAAAACAATTGACCTCAATTTCCATTAAAAAAGAAACTCATCAAGGTATGATCTTACCAAACCAGAGAGACATTGTCATGTGACTCCCAACTCTAGACTCAAAAAGGTATGTTCCTTTTAAATATTAAGTACATCTGTAAAAAGAGGCTGTATGAACAACTGCAAAGAACTAATTTTAGCACCCTTGACTCCACTGACCCCCCAAACTCCACACAACAGAGGAAGACCACTAAAATTATAGACAGCAATTTTATGACAAAAAAAGGACAATTTTATTGATAGATTTGTAGGGAGGCAAAATCATAACAATCCTTTTAAAGTGAAACCTGCACAGACATCTTGCAGTTCTAGAATACTGAAACATGCAATTAGCATGAAACAATGTAGGTCAATATGAATTTGAAGGCACTGATCTTTGCATCTTAGATGCTTTCATATTTCTCGACAATAGACACAAGTTGTCTGAAATAAAATTTGAACCATATCAAGATTCCAGAAAAGGTAGAGTTGACACTAAAGTCTACCAGATTGTATCCTATCTATGGGTACTGTTAAGGTGCTCTACTTATTAAAGGTGCTATCTATAATTCCCTCTAAATGGACAAACTTGGCATTTGCTGTCTTCCTTTTCCATCACACCTTTAAAGCATGTTAACTTAGAGTGTCCTAGGGCAAAGTCGGCATTTAATAATTCCATAAGTCCATAGAATTGAAAAGGACTTAATTACTTTTACTGACATATTTTACTGGGATTGACTGCTATATCTATACTTAAATGTGCACATACCAGTCAGAGTAAGGTACATGATCAAAGCAATAGTTTTTATACAATCAATCTTCCATGTTAAAAGGTGGCGCTTCTATTGCCAATTGGCACAAGTTCAGATTACTGCATTACCATGTGGATGCGATAGCCGTGGGGAGTGCTATACAGTTTTACTGGTTACAAGGGACAGCATACATTAAAATAGAAACAAAAACCTGTAACAGTGTATCCTCTCTTATGAGCTTACACAATTCAGCTTGTACACTGTATTGCCATTACAAGCATGTGTTACTTTCGATCAGGGTACCTTTCTTTGGAGCTTCTATTTTTCTAACTTTTACCTTAACTGTGTACAATTTTTATTAAGTATATAAGTAGAGTACACTGTGTACAAAATATGAATATAACGGTCATAAATTATTTATACTTATGTCTTAGATAAAAGATCAATTTTAATGAGACCACTACGGTGGCGTAGAGGGGATATAAGCAAGATTTTATCTTTCATGTGCGCACACGATAGCTACTTAGTGTGCACGCTATAGTTACTACGTGCGCACGAGATAATTACTATGTGCGCAAGTGATATATACGTTATACGTACACGATAGCTACAGCCAAATTTATAGCTACTATTTGCGTACGCTACCACGTGCGTACGGGATAGTCAATCATAACGTGCACACGTGTTTGCTATCGCATGCGCATGTTTTAGCTATCGCGTGCGCACACAGTATCTATTGCTTTGACAATCATTATTAAGAACAAAGATTGAGTTTAACATGATAAGATATATTGTTACCCAAATTTCTACATTTGTTCATCGCACGTATTTCTCCATTTAAAATCTTTGCAAAGTCATCGATTTGTCTAGTGACGGATGCATGTACGCTTTGGAGATTTCTTTCTTTACTAATGAAACATTTGTCATAAAACTTCTCCTTGTCGACTTTTCACCACAAACCATAAACAAATATTGCAAATTAATAAAAAAAAAACAAAAAACAAACTTAAAATCGGTATTTTGTGTCAAAATTGACCTTTGACCATAAAAGTGAACTTGAAAATTATTTTTTTCAAAGGACTTGTATACACCTACATAAACTCTACTTATATACTTAATAAATTCCGAAAAACTTTCATGTTAGATTACGTAATGCAGAAGTAACATGGTTTTAGTGTGAATCAGTCATCATTTTGAAATTTGGCGGGAGTATGGTCGCCATCTTGAATATACCGGAAGTGCAATCCGATCTCACGTCGCGAAATACATTCTTTTTGCTAGATTTCAAATCGTTTTGACAAAAATATTCGTTTTTACAAAAATAAAAACAACTAAATATGTTGGGATGAAGGCACAACTGTGCAAGCCTTTCCTTTTAAAAGGAAACTTTATTAATTCATTGTATACGCACCGGTATCAAATATCAGTAAGACCGGTGTACACAATGTTTTTAATTGACATTTTCAAAAACCAAGCTAAACACCGTTTTCCGGTACGTCTGGGGAATTACACCAAATGAAGGACATAACACAATTACATGATATTTCTATTTTTCTATCATTTTTTACCATTTAAGTTTAAAAAGAATTGATGAGTTTGAAAATTATCAATGTTCCTAAAATATCTATTGCAAAATTTTCAAAATATAAATTGTTTTTAATAAAAATCAATAAAATGAAACAGTCGTAGTGACAATTAACTTCCATAATAAATATAAAGACATTTTCTGCGTAAACCTGTGTATTTACTTTATATATTGTATAAAATAATTCATTCCATGATATTTTATTAATTTCTTACAAAGAAGTAAATGTTTCATTTCACTTTAATTAAAAAGGAAAAAAATATAGAGTTCGTTATTGCACTTCATAAGGTGAATTCCCCAGAGCTATGTACAGAAAGTATCGGAAAACGGCGTTTAGCTAGGTTTTCGAATTCCTAAACAAATAATAGATATATATAGCAGATGGGTGCATATACAAGTGCATTTTTGGAACTTTTCCGGGGTTGGGGCTCCTACTTAGGCTACAATCAGGTCAGCAATTATTACTGATCAGGTATAGTTTACGGTGAACAAAAGAATTAGAATGCATGGACTTTCCTTTCATCATGGTTTACAATTATTCGATATATATATATAGCATGGGACTCTGTGTTACCAACTTCCTTAATATTTCCTGTATGTCTTCATTGAATTTCATATATGAATTTAATTACTATTTTTTTATGTGAAGCAGGTCGAATTCAACTTAAAATAACATTTTTTATTGAATGAGATCAAAGATTTTTTAACTTCATCGTATGCATGACCGCACATGACAAAACATGAGAGATAGAGTTGCGTCGACAATACAGAGTTGGAGTATACATGTAGTAAGATGACAAGTTACATAATTATTTCCTCTTTTTATTCAGTCAGCTGAGCAGGAAAGAATATTGAGTGAACGAGAACAGCTGAAAAATTATGCCTACCCCAGGGAAGTCGATGAGCAAGATCTTATCCCAAATAGAGAGGCATTTACCTGCTCTATCTGCTTTGATGATTTTGATGAAGGAGAGGGTGTGGTCCTGAGGGAATGTTTACATTCATTCTGCAAGTAAGATATTTATGGTTATCTCAAGGCCTCATGTTCACAAAGATTTTAGGATCAAGATAAATCAAAATTAAAAACTCAAATATTCTTCATGTTTATCAACATAGATTAAATATTTAACTTCGACTTGCTAAATTGGACTTGAGATATCATGCTTATAATGCAATTTTAGAATAAATTTGATAACATTTTACAAGATGTAGGTATTGAAATTGATCCAAATATTATCTTTATCCTAAAATTGATCCTTATTTTGATCAGATTATATTTGTATTTATTTTTTGTCAATTTCATTCCAAATTAGGGTTGTTTCTTTGCAATTCAGTATTGTTTTACATTTTGTTTGTGTACCATTCAATGGTAATAAAATTCAATCAATTTTAGTTGAATAAAGCAATGAAAATAAAATCAGAATCATTATATTAGGGTTCAAAGGTAAAAGGTAATAACTTCCATTTCCTAGATTTCGAGAAAAAAGCAAAAACATATATATTTTAATACAACTTCATTTTCCGTAATATTTTTATAACACTTTTGTTTCTCCCACATTTGTTGACTACATTTGATCATATTTTGTTAAGCTTACCTTGCTTGGTGCTGATAAAACATTGTAATTATAGTTTGTTTTAAAGTTCTAAGATCAAAATAATATCATTTTACAGAAGTAAAAGGTAATAAATGTACTTAGATCCTGTTATGACAACAAGGTTGGGAGGTATACAAAAGGTAATAACTGCACTAACAATTTTTTACTTCTGAAAGTTTAGCAATAAAGGCTCCAGATAAATTGTGGTAAAAAGTTATAAGTGCAGTTATAGCCTTGTTCCTCTGAAAAGAATTTAGATGTTTCAGTTATTGTTACTGTTGCAAATTTATTAATTATGTCCTTACTTTGAAGAACCTTGCGTAATGTCATTAACACACATGCACAATAATACTCGTACACAAAACTGACTATTTTCATTCATAGAAATATGAAATATGTACCTGCTCAATATTTAGATACTAAAGAAATAAATTGATAACTAAAAGAATAGGAAAATATGCACTAAAATCTAGTTTACAAATTTTCATTTATTTTGAATGTTCTCTGGTATATAATTGAACTGAAGTCAAACAGACCAAGATATCAGCAATTAAGGATATTATTGACCCATATCATAGTTAAGTAAATAAAGACTACTGTTTCATGTCACAAAATGTGAATGATTGTCATTAATTCTTCCTTGACCTTCACTCATCTCCTTCACTCTCACTAACAGAAGGCACTGGAAGTTTGTCTTTTATAGATTTGCTGCATGGCAAAGACTCAAAGTATGATTCGTACTCCTTCGGAATTGTCCCAGAGGCAACAAGTGACATCAAATCAGCCTTTTTTTGCAGCAGATATTGGAAACTTCCCTGTATAAGCCTTTCGTGGAACTTTGATCCATTTTATTTTCAGCCAATTAACACGTTCTTTATCAACATCGATTTTCATTGTGCCAAAGTTTTGTTCTTTGTACAACTTGTAATCTAGTATGTCAGTGTATTTATTGAAACGACAATATATGGTTGCTTTCGGCGTGCTAACGATATAACTGTTTCCCACTGAGATGGAACATGTATTTTTGAGGATTTTTGCATGCTCGATAGATGCATGTATAGAATCACATTCCATTTCTGAATGGCCGCTTTCGAGAAATTTGTGGTTTATACACTTGATGTGAAGAATATCTTGGACACAGTAAACTAAGCAACTTGAAACAAACTGACTGCGATCCTGACCCCCATATGTATCACTATATAATGTCACTTCTTCAATACCAGATGTCTTACTTCCAACAGAAGAAGAACATACAAGTACACACAAGTCCTTACTTCGCACGAGCCTCGTTTCCCCTGTGTCTCAGCCCACAGATATTAAGTCCTGTTACCATTTCCCAGTTCATAGAATGACATATTGTAACTACACAGTTTTCTTTTGTAATAAACTTTACCAATTAAAGTGCATGGCGTTGTCAATACAGCCTGGAGATCAAATGCCGACACAGAAGATTTTGGATCTTTCTTTGCGCGTTCTTTATAAGCTAATTTTTGCATTCTAGCATTGTATTTTTTCTTTCTTGGTGTGCCTGATATTTTACTTTTGTTCCCTCATCTAGACTATCTTCTATTCTCAAAGTGTCATACAGATTGCAGAGTAGACATTGATCTTTCTTAGGATGGACGAAAGACAAATTATATTCTGTACAGAAAATGTTTCTGTACACAGCCTCTGAAACACACCTTCTATTTTGTCCTTTGCATTTTTTTACATACAGTGAGCACATTTGTCTTATACTTAAATCTTGCGTTAGATACTTCCTGTTAGAGTCTTTTGTGTGTATTGTGATTCAACAGTTAGAAAGCTATGGTAAGGGTTGCTTTTTTCAAATGATCTGTGATATTCCGTGTTTTTATTTCTAGGCACAGCTTGACCTCTTTTGTCATTTCCAACATATAACCCTGCCATTTTGTTCTAACTACATTTGCAACTGTTTTGGAACCGACATCAAGAGTTTTTAGAAAAAAGTCTTTGCACACTAGCTCTAACCATTTTGCCACCAACTGTGAAGAAAAACGAATTCGAAATCGTTCTTTGTTTTTTTTTCTCTGTTTAGATACCTTCTCTGGATCTTTATTGGCAACATGGAAACAAATGAATTGCCTTTGACTTTTGTATCACCCATTGACCAGTATGTACTGAATATTTTCTGTCTTTCATCTTCGGTTATATTCTCGCTGCATTTAAATCTACACTTAGAGAAATCCTTTCTCTTTACGCGTCTTGCTTTCATTGATTTTCCTGTTTTACTTGTATACTAGCTCCTGTCATTTTGACCCATGATCTTTTCTAATATTGGCTTTCAAAAATGTCTGCTTACTCTCCGTTTACGACTCAAACATTTACGTTTTGGGCTTATATATGATGCATCTTTGTGAGGCGTTACCTTCAGTGAAAACCTTCTCGTTTTCGTTGCTTTGATGGTGTTCTTTTATTCTCTGAGGCTTCTGCGGTTTGCTGTCTTTTACAAGCTTGATCAGCAATCTCTTCCCTGTCATCTGTGGCATTTAAGTTTGTTGCTACAGTATCATAGTGATCTTGGTCGTGTATTGCAATGTCAATACACAAGCAATTAAATGATAAAAAGGCAAGGATTTCACATAGAATCTTTCTTATCAGTGTTATAATTAATTTACTGTAAGGGATTCTCTCGGTTCAGGTGCTAAGTAAACAATTAGCGTGAAAAAAATCTTGGGAAAAGAGAGAACAGATAGTGCCTGTGAACTGTATGAATGCAGTATTCTGTCAGAGGAAAAAGGTGATAAAATCAGTTATAACCTTTTTCCAATACAGATTCTTCACAGCATGTGAAACAACAGGTTATTAGTACACTTAAAACCTTTTACCCCTACATAATTTGTAGAAAAGAAGTTATTACAAAATACTTTTTAATGTTTTGCCCTTATAAGGATTGAATATTTCTATAATATTTTCGTCAGACATAAAGGACAAAAAGTACATTATAAAAACATAAGAACATAAAAAAACATTTTGGGCAAAAATGGCAGTTTTTACCTTTTACCTTTGAACCCTCTTTATCCTGAAATTGATCCTTATTTTGACCAGATTATTTTTCTATAAGTTTTTTGTCAATTTCATTCCAAATTAGCGTTGTTTCTTTGCAATTCAGCATATTTTTTTTTTACTTTTTGCTTGTGTACCATTTAATGTTCACAAAATCCAATCAATTTTAGTTTATAAAGCAATGAAAATAAAATGAGGATCATTAATTTTGATCCTGATCCTGATCTTTCCTTAGTGAACATTGGATATGTGGTTTAATTTAAAAATACATGTACTGCTTTAAGCTCATTAATTATATATTTGATATAGAATATTCACTGAGATAAGTTTTACTCTTGAAATGTGCAAATGAATCTTGGATTTTATTTGTATAACGATGTAAATTTTTACAAAGAATAGTCCATTCTGACCAAAATCAGCTTCAAAACATTACACTACACTAAATGTTAGACATCTATATTTGAATAGATCTGAATAGAATCAGATGACATGAAAAGAGATGAGTATTTCTGAATTCAAAAACATCAACACAGAAAATTGTGCTCTAATCCAGTTTTCAATCTGAAATAAAAGTGTTGTTTTTTTTCAAGCAGAAAATATATATTTGCAAATTTTAAGATTCTTATGTTACAGGTATAAGTAATTTCAAAGATTTTTATATTTACTACTAAAAAGTTAGATTTTCAATGTATATATGTTGTTACTTAAATAGCTGTTGGAATTTTGATAAATTAATTACTAAATTTTTAGGGGGCAATGCAAATAACTGAAAGGTGTACATTTAAAAAATGTTTGTGATTTGGAGTATTATGTTCAACCCTTGACATAGTTTAGCTCTTATTTTACATTGAGTAGATGTTTTAACGTTGTAAACATAGAAAAATTGCTATAAAAATGGAGATTGTGATAAATTGAAGTATGACTTATGGCATAGATTTTGTATGTGTTTATAGGGACTGTCTGCGAGATGCAATTCAGTATAATGAGGAACCAGAAATAAAATGTCCGTTTGTTGATGAGGATTATACATGTGGTGCTACATTACAGGAACGTGAGATTAAAGCTGTAAGTAGTACAGAAAGTCATATAATAATGTATATTACAATAAGTAAATAAGATTGCATAGTAAATCAGGGTTTTCATGTTTGTCCGAGGCAACATATGTGCTAATGAAAACAACCAATTTGGCTAAGGGTCAAATGGGATATTTTAATCTACAGGCTAAAAATACAACCAACTTTGAACAGCGTTTCAGCAGATGATATGGAGCGCCAATTGATATGGATCGCAAATCAGTTAATAATTAGAACCTTGAGTATATATTACATGTATTTTATTGAATAAAAATATTTATCTATTTGGTGGTGTTGGTTGAATCACACCAGTACTGCTAAGGTCATATGATGACATGGAGCTTCATTGATGGAAGAAGACCGCAGGTGCCCCTCAATGCATGATTTCAGATGCAAGCTGGTTCGAAAGTAGAACTATCAGTCTTTTGTAATATGGCTGAATAGCTTGTGTTTTCATGTCCCTTGTGGAATTTGACTCTGGGCCACTACAGCAAAGGACAAGATAGAAACCAGAACCAGTCAAAAATGGAAGGCTGTTCAAGAAGATGTTTTTGCAATGAAAATCACCGCTGACTGATGAAAAAAATCTGAAAATATTTGATACAAAAATGAACTTCGATGTATTGGATATACTCAATATTATTAAATAATGTTTTTTTTTGACAGCTTGTTAGTCCGGCTGATTTTGCGAAGTATTTAGTACGTGGATTAGCAACTGCTGAGAGTCAGGCCCAGAATAGTTTCCACTGTAAAACTGCTGATTGCCCTGGATGGTGTATATATGAGGACCATGTCAATTTTTTCGTTTGTCAAGTGTGTGGCAAAGAAAACTGTCTGACTTGTAAGGTTATACATCAAGGTAAGCGTAATAAAAGGTGATTTTTTTCTACTGTACAACTTCAAAAGTAAATGCCTGTAACATGTTTCAGTATTAATTGTTTCAGTATTCGTTGGGGAAATAAAAAAAAATGTTATACTATATACATGTATGTTTTATCATTATTTAAAATGTTGACTGATTTTGAATAAGTATACCAGTATACATGTAATTAAAGCTATGATGCATAGCTCAAATATTTATTAATATTTTTTCCACCAAATGACTATACAATAAACAGATGAATGGCAAAGGAAATTAAGGCGATAATAGTATCTTGTTTACTGATTTCATACGTATTGTATTCATAAGATCAATGAACTGCATTTCTGTACTCGTCTTTACATACCTTCCGTTCAACTGTAACTATGTTCAGTCTGGACAAAACCATTCATCATTTTTAGGGAAAATTTTAATAATTACTCATTGAATTGCAACCAGTGCAGACTACCATCAAACAACATGGTCAGTAGTTCTCATTACTAAATCAGAGTTGGAGTGTCAAGAATGACAAGCCTTTGTACTCTGATGCTCTCTGATCAAACTTTATTCAATCAACTTTTTAAATGTTGGTAGGTTCTGAATTCCCTGAAATTTATAATGAAGTGTTTCAATTTTTAATCAAAGCAAGTAAAAATTGACATTAATCATGAAAGTGTAAAGA